CGGCTGCGGGCTGACCGGTGGGGCTGATCATGGCACCAGCCAACAGCAGAGATGTGTGCTCTGCTCTTTTATTGTTGCTGCCAGGTTGAGCGATTCAGTCCTCAGTGTAGTAGTCGTCTTTATTATATAAGGCTTTTAGTTTTATTAGCCACTCCTAAACTTTCTGTAGCAGTTGGAGAAGGTGTTCTGTTATATTGAATTATTCCAGCTGCCACAGACCAAACTGACTAATTGCTGATGTGGACCGTTTCCCTGTGACACATGTGCTTGTGCCTTTTTCTGTGTGCCACAGGGGAGGTGTTTGTGCTAGATGATGGAGGGGAAGTGGACCTGGACCTTGGTAACTACGAGCGCTTCCTCGACATCCGACTCACCAAAGACAACAATCTGACTACTGGGAAGATCTACCAGTATGTCATCAACAAGGAGAGGAAGGGAGACTATCTTGGCAAAACCGTCCAAGGTGATGTGAAGCTTCCTTTCTGATGCTTAGAAATACATTCTGTAGAAATACAGAATGTCCTGGTTGGATGCTTTTGCGTTTCATCTTAACTTGTGGTCTTTGTTATATACTGTCCTTGTGATGTTTTTTGTTTGTTTTTTAAAAGAGGAAGTAGAAGACGCACCAGTGCAGGTATACTGGTGTGTGCCATAGTGAATCAGGTTACCTGTAAGCCCCTCAAAACTTCTCAGTGCTCAGCAGCTTACTGCCTGTTGTTTGGAGTATATGCTGGACTTGGGTCCAACTGTCTAACGTAGCTAATACTAAATGTGAACAGACTTCAGACTAATACATCCATGGATTATTTGTTAGCTGGTTAAAATGGTTATTGCTTTTGATAGCTGTAATGTCATTAGAAAACCCAAAGGATCTTTGAGGATCAGATCAGTCCCTCCTGTTTTTCAGTATCGTCCATAGCTGGTTTGGATAAGGATTTTTTACAGACAGTTTAAAACAGAGTAACTCTCTGCTTAGAGCAAAGAACTGTTTGTTCTTGAATCTTTCAGCTTAAGGGAAATGTTGCTTACGTGTGTTTAAATTGAGGCAGGATTATATTTCCTGCCAAGGCACTTCTCTTGAAAATTGCAGCCAAGAACAATCACTTCAAAAATGCATACTTCTTTAAAGACATAAATCAGTGCTCAAGTCATATGGTAAGCACTGGCTAGTTATTTTAAGTAATTTGCTCTGTAACGAGTTAGAGGGAGAAATGTGCATGGGTTGTGGCTTTAACCCTTGCCTGGGTTTCTTTTTCAGTTGTTCCCCACATCACAGATGCTATACAAGAATGGGTCATGAGTCAGGCCCGAATTCCTGTAGATGAAGATGGCATTGAACCCCAAGTTTGTGTGATTGAGGTTTGTAGCTCTTAAAAAAAAAAAAAAAAAAAAAAAAAAAGTTTTGCTTCTTGTATGGAATAAACTGAACTATATGCATCTGTTGCACAGTAAATTTTTTTTTACAGTAATGTTCAACTTCAGATGTTGTTAAGTTGGTTAAAAATCCCCCTTGTTAGCTTCACTTATTCAGTCTAATCTTTTGAATGCTCTGTGTCTGAATCTGCACGTAGAAAGACTTAGGTCTTGGCCAGTTATATTTTTGACATGCTAGTATATGTTTGACATATATGCTAGTATATTTTTGCAGTATACACTAGTATATTTTTGACATGCTATAACTCTAGTGTAATGTGTATAAAATGAATTTAATGCCTATAAAATGAATTTTAGCTCATGTAACTTTATATGCCAAAGTCTGAGTTAATCATTCTGTGCCCTCTTCTTCCTTGGTGGACAGAGGGAAGGTAGGTAAATCACCCTCTGGAAACAGTTGTTTTTCCCCCTTACAAGTAAAAGGAGCCTTGGAGTGATTAGTTCAAGCATGGACCTAGAAAAGAGAGTGGCACAAGTTAGTGGTGACAAACCCTGGGCAGTTCCCTGTGTATTGTGTGGGATATCCTGTTGCCAGAGGAGACCAAGAAGGGCAACGGCTCCGAGACTGAGTTGGCTTGGCGGGGTATACTAATACAGGAGAGAGGGAGCTTGTCAGAGTGCCCGGGTCATGGTGACTTAGGACTCTCCCTGCAGCTTGAGTGCCAGTTTCTCATCCAGGATTCGCATGCCTGGATCCTGAAGTATCTAGGAGGCACTATCTGACAACACATAGGAGGCTGTCAGTGCTCCAGAGAATGCCTTGTCTCTGTTCCTGCATGTGTCCAAAACCACTCTATATAGTTACTAAAACTTAACAGAAATATTGCTTCTTAGTGCCACCTAGTGTTCATAAATGATAATTTTAACATCTCAATCTTTTCCCTGATGAGAGAATAGAGGAAAAGCTGATGTCCCTGGAGAGGTGCTGCCCATACGAGAAACTGTTTTTCTTGTGGCTTTTTGATTTTTGGATAAATCATGAAGGCAAAATAATATTTGGGGTAGATTGAAGGCTGTAGAAGTAGTACATACAACTGGCAAATCCTGGTGCTTTTTGTACTGGTGTTGATGCTCCTTTAAGGAATCAGAGGAAGGTGCTTGAGGAGATGTTTTAGTGTCCTTTTATGTATGTTTTAGTATGCTTTGGTGTACAAATTCAGTTGGTGATGTTTTGGTACTAACTTTAATTCTAAATGTCTTTGTCTTTTTTAGCTTGGTGGGACGGTAGGCGATATTGAAAGCATGCCTTTCATTGAAGCTTTCCGCCAGTTCCAGTTCAAAGCCAAAAGAGAGAATTTTTGTAACATTCATGTCAGTCTAGTTCCCCAGGTAAGGACCCAAAATGTTTTGGTGGTCAGAGGCTTACCCAATCCAAAACTTGCTTTCTAAATATGTGTTTTTGAAATGCTGTATCTATAGGCACTGTTATATTTGTATTTCTATATATAGAAACTTCTGGAAGAAATGCAGAGAATATATAGTTACATATTTAGAAAAGTTTGCAAGAAGTGAACAGAAACTTTTCAAAATGTGTAAATGTGTAATAAATAGTTGGCAGTTGCAGCAAATGCACTGTTGCATCTTTAATGGCTGTTTTTCTCTGTGAAATTATCTCCTAGCTTTTGCAAGTAAACTTGCTTTCTAGGGCTGAAAACTCTCAGTTTGCCTTCATTTGCATAGCCTTTCATTTCTGCAAAGCTAATATAAAATTCAGTGATATAGCCAGACTTTCACAGCCATTTGGACTTATTAATAAGGTCATATTCCAGGCTTTTCCTGGAGTTCTTTAACATTACTGTTGTAGTGTGCTTTCCTCCTGCCCCAAAATTTACATTAGCTGTAGTTCATTAAATAGTTTGGGTTACTTCTGTCATTTCAAAACATAACACTGTGTTTTGAAACATAATCTGTTTTTTTTCCCCTAGGTAATATTTTGAATGTGTGATCTTTAACAGTAATTTCATAGACTCTTAGATCTGAATGCTATGTAAGCCATAACAATCTGAGTGGCAGTTGCCCTTGGTTCAGAGATTTAACTGGGAAAAGGTATTATGAAGCAGTGCTATCGTAAGAATCAGTTAATTAGGAATCACAAAGAAAAACAAAATATCCTCATGTGCCACGTAGATGGGATGACCTGCAGTTAAAAGCATATGAAGGTGTTTTATGCCATATAATGCCTGGTATAGCCTCATCTGTGTTATCTGCTCTGGTTTTGGAGACAATTTACAGTCTTAACGAAACAAAAGAAATATTTCTACTGCAGGGGTCACTGCTGAAAAAATTCTTCCATGGTTATGTTAACAGTACTGGAGAGCATGAGTATCCTTTGTCTCGGAACTGGGTTTGAAAGAGCAACTTGATAGTTACTGGAGTGCAGATCAATCTTTGTTCTCCTCTCTCTCTCTCTTTCTTTCCCCTTCTGTCCAGGCCAGGTGATTTATGGAGAAAAAAATAATATAAAATATTAGGTATTTTGAGGGAGCAGTGGATAAAAATCTTAGGATCTCTGCTCTCTCCTTGCCTCACTATAATGCATATCTACTTACTGTACAGACTTGAACTCTGGTTTCTGCTGGTTGCTGTCGGTCTTTGAGATTAAAATAATAGTGTACATGGGTATTTAAAGTTCCTAAGAACTGGGTCAAAGTTTTTACAAGATGAATAGAGTGGAGAGTCTCCTGATTAGCCTGATGAATCATTGCTACATATCATCACAATTTGATACACCAACTTCTGCTCTTTTTCTGACCAGCCAAGCTCTACAGGAGAGCAGAAGACTAAACCCACCCAAAACAGTGTTCGTGAACTCAGAGGTCTCGGTCTCTCACCAGATCTGGTAAGGTTTCCTGCATGGCTTTGAGTTTAAACATGCAATACTGGCATATTGCAACAACATCCTAGTCTAAATGATGCTTAGGTTGAGAGCTCTTGTATATTGGTAATAAACAAGTAAAAGTAATAAAGTTGTTTTTTTTTTTTTCTTGAAGTCATGGAGACTGCAAAAACACAGCTTTTTTTAGAGGTTTGTTATATGAATATCTGAGTGCTTCTGTTTTGCTTCACAACCTTGATGTTGCTGTTCCGTTAGGTTGTTTGCAGGTGCTCCACTCCATTGGATACCTCAGTAAAAGAAAAGATTTCCATGTTCTGTCATGTTGAACCAGAACAGGTAAAAGATTCCTGCCTGCACTTCCTTGCAATAAATATTCTAGCTGTTTGTCAAATGCTGAGTAGAGTTTTATATGAGCATAGCTTTCTTGTATTCTAGCTGTGTCTTTTGTTAGCTGCATAATTCATCTGCTGCTTTCTTACCTGCATTCCTTACACATGTAACGGTTGCAAAAATAGCCCTTTTTATGCCAGCACACAGGTTTTCTTATAAGGTAGTTAGCATAGGCTTAGAGAATTCTATGCAATCCAAGGTATTTTCTGAATAGCTGTTTTTGACCTTAGTTATCCTTCCACATTCCTTCTGTGAATACAGAAGAATGAGATTTTTCAGTATTTAGACGCCAAAGAGTAGTTGAGCAAAATTAGGTTTAAAGGATACACGAATGTATTTCGTACATTGCTCTTTTCATGGTATTATTCTCCTGCCCAAGATTTCATGAGATTGCACAGAAAAGTTGAAATGGTATTTGAGAGAAGCATTGCTTCACTTGAATGTTACGTGATATGCAAAAATTCCATGTTAGCATGATTCTTTTTATACTGAGACTACTCTGCATAGCGTAGTCTAAGGTGGACCTTGGAAAATAGTAAAACAGTCTGTAAGCTAAATATTAGCACTTTCCAATCCAGCTCGAGCTTGAAAAATTTTGTGTTTTTGTGAAAGACTGAGTATCACTTCATAATTCCAGGCTCTGTCAAGTCATTTTTATTAATTTCCTACACAACGAGATCAAATTGAGTCATGCAGTTTCAAGTATGACATTCAGAATTAGCTGGCAATAATATTCTGTGTCAGCAGTACAATAGCTACCTCTTTTTGGCCAGGAATTGAATAGTAACTTGTCTCTTGTCAGTCACTTTCCATGAAGTTTAATGTAATTTTACCTGGTTGTTTCTCTTGACTGCAGTTGTACTTGAATTGAGAAGTAAATGCTATTGACTATGAAGGAGGAAAATTTGCAACCTAGGGGGTTTTACTGGTGCAGTGCTGAACTCTGCTTTCATTTAAGTCAGGAGAAATGAGGATTTAAAAATAGTTGTGCCATTATATTTTTGATCCTGAAAGTATAGTCTCATTTTTGATGGACAGGTGACAGTTGTCCAGAGCAGTCTTTCCTTGTCTGAGGAAGCCCATTTCAGTGAACTGGAACCATTGATGTAGATATTCCTCATTGACCTAAGAATTCTTTGCTCGTAGTTGCTTAATCCTAAATTTGATGAAGGCCACCCTGTAAAATTTATTGCTGTATTGAGATCACAGATTTTCCTGGGCTTTAACCAAACTGGGAGCCCTGGTTAAGAGTGGCAGTGGTGGGAAATGGGGAAACTGGGCTTGTGAACAGCTTAACTGTAGTTTCAATTAGAATTACCAAGAAGGCTGTATCACAGGAGAAGTCTCTTTGAAGCGTTCTTCGAACTTTTCCATGTGCTCACATAACTTGCTTAGCAGCTGACTTTCTTACTGCTAGGTAATGTTATAGCCCTTCCCAAGGAGCTCCAGTGAGCCGTAATACCTGGGAAGTGTTGGATCACCTTTTCATGAATGTGGAAACTAGTATTAAGCTATTCATGTTTATGTTATTTAACAGATGTTATTTCCTGGAAGTTTAGGTGGTCATCTGGTTGTTTGCTAGAGACAGAAGCTCTCTGAATATCTGTCTAAAAATGATCGCATAGGCACTTAGATCTGTTTTAATGACACTCATATTGTATGAACAGGTCATCTGTGTTCATGATGTCTCTTCTATCTACCGGGTTCCTCTGTTGTTAGAGGAGCAGGGAGTTGTTGACTACTTCAGACACAGGCTTGACCTCCCCATTGAGAGGCAGCCCAGGAGGATGCTCATGAAGTGGAAGGAAATGGCTGACAGGTGAGCTGCACCGCTGGGCATAGTTTGAATTAAGACTCTAGATTAGTTTGTCTTCTTCGTTGTTGATTATTAGGTGACAACTTGTTACTTCATGTTCCTCAAGTGTTCTTACGCAGTCAATTTTTGTGTGTTTTTGGTTTTTTTGGTTTTTTACTACAAAAATGCATTTTCTTCCTAGATGTTTGGAAAAAAAACCCCAAACTACTCTTCAACATGGAGAATCCTGTAAGATAATGTTTCTGAAGTAATTAAAAGGTGGACAGCTCTGCCCTCACTTTTCATACAAAAAACCCCAGTGACATTACAAAGTGTTGAAATCCTTATGTGGGCATATATGTAGCAGTCATCAGGAGTGTCAGTGAAAATGTACCTTTTGAGTATGCTTTGAAGCAAGTGAAACAACTGTTTCATAACTGTTCTGTCTGAGACTTGTAGCACAGTGTTTTTATTTCTTGTGGGGAATAGACTCCATGTTTGCGGGGAAATAGTGAATTGAATCTTTTCAGTTGGCATTCAGGCTCTTTCTGAAGCCTCAAATATGTTTGTCCTTGTAAGTTAATTTACAAGATCTAGATGTATTCCTTTACATGCCTCAAGATCTAGATGTTTCCCTTTATATGCCAGACACAAACCACCACTGTCAAAAACATTTTCTTTTGATGGGGAAAGCCCTCAGTAACCAGCTTGCTTGAAGAAGGTACTTAGCAATTCTGAAATAAACTTTAAACAATCTCTTAGCTGTTGCCAAGAATGCTGTGTAAATCCCATGCTGCCAGATGGTGGGGATTGAAAGTGTAGGCAGTACAATCTTAGGACTCTAGAAGTCCTTTTTGTATTTCTAGCTGCTGAAGTGAACTCAGTCAGAAGCAGCGTGGGAAGATGCTGTACAGTATAAACATATGCAGAATTGTGCTTTGATCCTCTTTCTTGATAGTTTACTGCAGACTTTGAATGTAATACAGCTTCCTGAAAAGAGTTTGGATCTACTTAAAATGGCTTTTCAGCATAAGTAGGGATGAGTTAATTCATACATGACTTTCTGCAACTCTTTTTCTCTGAAATTTTTTTCCTTTCTTTTTTTCCTTTCTTCTGTTTTTGCTTTCATGTTTTTAAGTCATAATTGTTACAGAAGTTCATTCTGCTCCAAAGTCGTCATCTCTCTAGTTGTACAAACTTTCAAGAGCCCAACTGTTTGTGTTATTTGAATAGCTGAGTAGAATGTCATTGATTCTTTCCCCTATTTCCTGTTAATGACAAAATAACCCTTGTGTTTTGATTTTGTTTAGGTATGACCGTCTCCTTGAAACATGTTCCATTGCGCTTGTTGGCAAATATACTAAGTTTTCAGACTCCTATGCATCTGTCATTAAAGCACTGGAGCATTCTGCACTGGCCATCAACCACAAACTTGACATTAAGGTAGGGCTGGGTGCATGTGCATAAAAAAAATGCCCCCCAACTCCTTCCAGCTACAGTGCTACCCATCTTCATTAAGTTTTTCACAAACCTGTAGACAGTAAGGGAGAGTTGATTCAGCCAGTGAACTTTAAATTTGTCCTTGGCTTACAGCATCAAAACATCTGTTGTCAGGCATAAAACAGCTTCAAAGCAAACTTTCATCCTGTAAGATAGACAAGGTGTCTGTATAATTGATGGGAACTCTTCAGTGCTCAGTGTTGCATGGTGAACTGTGATAGAGTGGTAGATATATTTGAGGAGGGAACTGTTTGCTTTAATTTTTCTGGCAGGTGTTGGAAGTGATCCCTTTTTTTTTTTTAGTTTGTTGCTGTTATCCTTGTGGTACTCACAGGTTTTAAGATGCTTCTGCCTCAGGCTTTATTAAGGTTTTCATTCTGGTTTGGCTGCACATATGCTTTTAAGGATCTTGGTTGTAGCTAGATGCTCTGAAGAGGTGAAATCTGTTGTCAGAAGTTTAACTTTCATTTAAATATACTTTTTAAATGCGCAGTGGTTTCACAATGCCGATGAGTCATGAAATAGGTGCTTGCTTTATAACAGCACTGTTCTACATTTGGGTTACCTTTCAACTTACAAAATCAGTAGAGGAGAAAAGACGAAACACAAGACTGCTGAAGGGTAAACCCTGCGTATGCATCTATGGGTAGTTGCTGACACAGCTGTATTTGTATGGTTCAGAAGGGGAATAGGTTCTATGAGTCCTGTGCGTGGAGATCTTACGTTGTGTCAAAGAACTGCTTAGCAGTATTCCAAGCTTTAAAAAAAAAAAAAAGACAAGACAAAAATGGTTGTTCAAAAGGGTGAACAGACTGCCAGAATATTGAGAAGTTCAGAGATACTGGAATACTGGAGATGAGAAACTGGAAAATTTGCAGTGTTTCCATGTGTTTGATTGGTCATAGCATCTTTTAATTACAACAGCCTGTGTTTCACCATATCCTATTTGTTCTTCAGTCTCTCTTGAAGATTAAATGATGTATATTTGATGAGATAGCAATTCAGATTTTCTCTTGCTGTGTGGTTATTTCTGTCTGCATAGCCGTGTGTTCCCATCGTACTGTGCTCCATTAAGACTTCATGTTTAATGAGTCTGGTCCTACGAATGTCAGCTTCATTTATGTGACAGCAGTGCTGCAGAGTAGGGAAGAAACAAAAACCATAGCTTCTGTTTGCGCATATATAGTACAATGGTGCTGGAAAGCGGTTTTGTTGACTATCAGACAGGAAATCAGCCCAGAAAAAAACATAAGGAAGTATCTAGTAGGAAGCAAATCCAGAGCTATCCAGGAGGAATGATGGTATCTTAATTTAATGAGAATTAAGAAAACCCTGTATTTACACTCTCGTGGCAGTATCTCATCATCCTTTTTTGGATTTCTTCCCAGTATATTGACTCTGCTGACTTGGAGCCAGATACTCTGCAGGAAGAACCTGTCCGATATCATGAAGCATGGCAGAAGCTGTGTGGTGCTGAGTAAGACTCTTATACTCTGGCCATTTCTTTGGAGTATGTCTGATGAATTTGCTGCGATGGACAGTTTTGGAATTAAGAGACTCACTGGAGGCGGTTTTCTTAGGCACTGTACCAGCACTATCTGACATTGCCCCAAATACCTCTCAATGAAATTTAGGCTAAGATGTAAAATGGAGAATTGTTACGTAAGCAAGGCAGTTTCTGAAAGGCAGCAGTAGGGGAGATGATCATGCGGATGAGGATGTGCACAGGCTCAGTGGGGAAACGGTGAGAGGAAATAAGGGGAAAGGATAGGTACTGGCAAAGGCTATTAAAGCTACAGAGAGAGGATGGAAGGTGTAAATGTGGTATAAAGTTCATTAGGAAGAAAGTATGAGACGCGAAAGAGCATTAGGATGCAGAGGAGTGCCAGGAGTTAGCCCAGCGAAGAAGAACAAGTGGGGCTTATTAGCCCTCAGGGAAGCGGGCGTTGGGTGGCACCAGAAGAAGGAAGAACCTCCTGCAGAATTTAATGTCCTTGCCTGCGGTTACACTGTAGCCAGCAGCTTCCTCGGCATGGCCTGGCTGGGTGATGTGTTTGCAAAGGTGTTTGGTGCAGAGCATGTGGGTCATGCAACATGAACCATTCTAGTATTGTAACCTGCATCGCATCTGGGATTTCTCGGGAAGGTAAAATTTGCATTTATACAACGCTTCCCTGAAAATGCTCTGACATTTAAAGTGATGGCTCATATGAAGTTATATGGAAACTGTGTTGCAGACAGGCCTTGCCATGCAGGGCACTTCAAGGCCCTTTTCAGGAGTGAGTTCTTACAATTATAAGATTTTATGGGAGAGAGATGGTATGTGGTTGGGGGAAGCCATGCTGGTGACCCCTATGGGAATGGAATCTTTTCATCCTCATGCAGCGGAGTTCTGGTTCCTGGTGGATTTGGTGTTCGAGGGACAGAAGGCAAAATTCAAGCTATTTCCTGGGCAAGAAAACAGAAAAAACCCTTCTTAGGTGAGAAACATGTTTCATCCATAAGAAGGAGGAGGTTGAATAACAGCCAAACTGGTCTGCAGCAAGGGCTTTACTGATTTTCATTAGTATCTAGAATGTACAATTTTGAAGATAATTGGCTGAGGAAGGCAATGATCTATGCTCGGCTTAACTGGGTAATACAGCTGTAGTTAACTCTGCGGTGGTCCAAGTTGGCTGGGATGTGATGGCATGGAATCTCTATAACAAGGGAGCAGGAGTCTCAGAGGAAGTTTCAGAGGAGGCTGTGGTGATCTTGGGACAAAGAAATATGTGACTGCGTTTAAACAAAAGGGACACAGTGAGAGACTGGAAATGTTGTGTGAGCAGAGTGGATGGGAAAGGAAGGTGCGGAGTAAAACTTGTCAGAAGCACGTGGTACAGAGTGGACAGACCCCTAAATCCAAGTCAAAGGTCTGTCTCATCCAGGATTTCCTCTGACTCAGGACTGCTCTGTGAAGGTGTGTGCGCTTTGCAGTACAGGCTCAGTGGTCTTTGCCCTGACTTGATCTGTGTTCTGCCTTGTCTTCTGCAGGAGTTTGTTTGGGAATGCAGTTAGCAGTTGTGGAGTTTGCACGCAGTGTTCTTGGTTGGCAAGGTAACTGCACAAAACCCTTCCTGTGTTTTGGTCATTTCTTTCATTGCTTGAGTAATACCTGTAATTTTTTAAGTACCTGTAACTTTTAATTTTTCATTGGTGGTAGATTTATTTTTTTTTCTAGGCCTGTAAAATTCCTGATCTCCTTTGCTGATTCAAATAACAAAGAACAGTTTCTTTATCCTATTGAAATAAAAATCAGTGGAGTAAGGCATGTTTACAATGACAGAAAACTTTCTGTTCCTTAGAGTGAGGTTCAGTTCCTGAATAAAACACCTATGTGGAGTTGTGCCTATGTGTGCTGGATGTCCTAAATTCCTATTATAGCCAGTGGGAAGGAAGATGAAAAGCAATTCAGCTGCTGAGATAGTTGTACCTACTTCAGTGACTTGAATTGCTTTCTGGGCTTTACTGCTTTAATTGACTAGGTCCCTGTTGTCAAAACTGGCTTTACAGAGTGCTAAATTTAGTTTCTCAGCCTTATTCTGAGTCTCACTAGCAGTGAAGATAGGGGAAAGTGTGTTTCTCAGAGTACTTCTGCTCCCTTCCTACTCCCTGGCTTTATTTAAAATATTCTAAGGTGTTGAATATGTCCTTTTCCTGAATGACCCTCATCACCGATTGCACTAGACTGGTTGCCCTAAGATTGCAACCTCTGATGGCAGTCTCAGAAATTCATAGCAAACAATGCTGACAGAGTCCTGTTTCTGCTGTCTGGGGCTGAGTTGGCAGCTCTGTGTAGGTGAGTGGCTCAGCACAGTTAAGGTCACCGCTTGCCAGAAGCGTGGGGATGAGATGCAGCAGTACCTGGGGGGGTACCTGTAAATGCACATCATGGTATGAGTGACTTTGTGTTTCTAATTGATGAATGTAACATTGCAGATGCTAACTCGACAGAATTTGACCCCAAAACTGCTCATCCAGTGGTGAGTTTATGCCAACTTGCTTGTAATATCCTTACTGTGCCAGACTTCTCTGTGCATACCTGTTGGTACAGTTAAGAGTTTGGATTATTACCCCTTGTGGCTTTTAAGTCTGTCTTTGATCATTTACTAGTCTGAAAACTTCTTTGCCTAGTTAACTGTATGGCAGTTGCTGCTTCATAGAAGATTGCTGTGCTTATTATAGGTGAAACACTAATATTTTTTATTTTTATTTTTAATTACACTTTTTCATAAAACAAGGTGTTTTGTAAGAGGTAAAAGGTTCTTAAACAGCAGTTTGAAAGCTAACTGATTTCACAGACTAAATGGTAAAGATTTGGTGATACCCAGATTCTACTGCGTAACTGTTTAATTATGATCTCAGAAATTAACATAGACAGACATTAATTCCTTGGAACATTTGTGGACAGATTTCTGAACCTGCATTTCTTAGACTGCAGGCTTTATGTGCCTCGTCCAGGGTCCTCCGTAACAACTAGCTTCTGCTATAATTTAAAATGCTACTCAACAGTAAAAAGTTTTCAGAAAAACAGCTTATGAAGTTGTTTATCAAAGTATAAGTGATTCTGATTTGGGGATTTTGTTTCTGTAAATTTGCTTGTTTGCTTGTTTAACATTCAGTTCAGTAAATAGCACAGTATTAGTGCATGGGATCTATGTAGGCTCTGAGACCATTTCATATGCTAAAGAATACCCACAAACACTCCGTATGTTCTGTACAGCCTTTACTAGAATAACTCAACTAACTAATCTAGTTCTGTTGGTCTACCTTGTCAAGACAGCAATCCTTGCGCTGGTTTGCTTGTTTGGATGTTGTGGTTCCCCCACCCCCCTTTAATGTTTCAGAGTCTGCCTGGGACTGTTATTCCTCCTTCATTCTCACCTCCCTCTCTGAATGCTTTTTGCAGGTCATAGACATGCCGGAACATAATCCTGGGCAAATGGGTGGGACCATGAGGCTGGGCAAGAGAAGAACACTCTTCCAAACCAAGAATTCAATCATGAGTAAGGCATTTCTTACCTCTTTTAGAAGTGTTTCCTGTGGATGATGTGAATGTGTGGTGGGTATGGGGAAGTGAGACCTGCGAAGTTAAAGCATCCTTGAATGGTAGGTGTTTGCAGACTTTGTTCTGGTAGTGAAATGGAGATCAATGAATTTTGTCCCCTCTAGAAGTGGTGGATTCTGATGGATACTATTCATATGAGCTTCTTAAAACTTGGCATTGTGCAAACTCTTTGGCATTTGCTCTAAGTGTCTT